CTGGTTTTGTTTAGGAGAAAAGAAAGACTTGTGATATAAATAAACCGCACCCATTTAAATGTTAGATAAGACTGTTTAATGCAAACATGAATAAACGGAAACTCATAGAATTTTATCAAGTGCATTGTTCATTGTAAAGAAATTTACAGTTTTTGTTCCAATTATTTAAATCTAGACAGAAGCTAATTATTTTGTATGGGTTGTAAGCCAACGAACTTTGTTTACTAACATATAATATCATACACCGGTTTTTATGATAGCCTTTGGACAGTTTAAGCATTTATGAGCTCGTATTTATGTGATTTAACGACAATGAAATGTACCAACTTGAAGGAAACAAACGGTTTATAAGGAATATTAGCATGTACATTAATGATCACTTGACTTTCTAAAATATTACAATTATATATTAGAAATTCAGTGCCACTATTTTTAGCTTAGAATCAATTCTTGTGATATGGTTCCCTCAGACATTTACACTTTATATGTATATCGGACATCTAAGACGACCACGTAAAATACGATTTACTGCATATGAAGGTAGTAGGATTTTTTAAAGGTCATTCTTGAAAAAGCCTCTAACATTTGAAGAATCATAACCTGTTTTTTTCTAAAAAAAATCAGTTGTGTGTTCCCTGATGTCATCTTCTTTTAAACATAATCGAACGATTCGGTTAGGTTGGCAGACAGCCGCTATCGTCACTTAAGGATGTTCGCGGTTTTTGTTTTGGACTTTTTATCAGATATTCGGAATCTTCTGGTTTTATCCATGTAATGCAATAAACAATTTTGACCGCTAACCCCTACTCTTCTTTTCATGATTTCATAACATACAAATAAAAAAGTCGTTTTTGAAAATCTCTTCAAATCCTTTTATTTTTTCTTAGTTTTTGATAGAAAAAAAAGGTGCCAATGTTAAATGTATGAAAAAGTCTAGAGAAAATCATTTCCCGTCAAAATTTCAATGGCTTATAATTCAAAAACAAGGACACGGACCTATAATTCTTTTATGCTTGTTTAGATCCATTATTTATATACTATCAATTCCTTACAGTCTTTTAAAAAGCTTATTATAATAAAACAGATTAGCGAACTTCCTTAACAACAACAAAGCAGAAAAAAATGTAGGCCCTATTCCATTCGATAAATAAAACATTTCATTAATAATTACTTTGATTTTGCTAAAAGGACTATTTTTTATTTATTAAGTTCAACCTCTCAAAATGCATTTATTACCAAAACGCCAACTTAAATAACACAGGAAAATTAAACACAGGAGTACATCATCTTTAGGGAAGATTTTGATAGCAAAACAATATAGAAAAAAAGCAGATTGTCTTTCTTTTGAAAATTTTTACCCTTTTGTACTTTGACTTGTTGTCGGCCATGAGCACTAAGCAATATACAGGTTGTCCCTTGTACGAGCAGACATTGTTATAACTCAAAGGTGAATGTATGATAAGGCCTTTTTGTTTGCTCCCTTGAATTTGGAAATCAAAGATTATTATAAATCTACCCAGTATTCGTAACTGCTCACATTTAGTGCAAAACCGAAATAGCTTTATTTTGAGATCTTGTCATTAATATTTAAATATGAGTAAGGACTTTGTCCAAAAAGATGCTTGCTACAAATTGTATTTACAAAGATGTTTATGTGTGTAAAATATCTTTTGGGGTAAAGTTGTTGCTCATATATATTTTGACCAAAATCTATGCGTAAAGCGGCCATTTTTGGTCAAATGCGTAATTTCGAAATGTTTATGACGTCAATTGTTACGTTATTTTTTTTTCTTTTTATTAAATTTAAACTTCAATTTTATTGTGACTTTTGGGGAGAAGCGAATTGGTTTGTTTAATTCCTATCAAAGATGATCTGGATTGGGGGGGAGGGGGGGTCCTTCATTTCAGTATTTTTTAAACTTTTAGGTCATTATTCTCAATTCTTTATATTTTTTGCCTTTAATTCTCTATTCTTTATATGTTTTTTCTTTCATTCTCTATTCTTTATATTTTTAGAACCCCATCATTCTCTATCCTTTATTTTTTTAGCTTATTTTTCTCTACTATTTATTATTTTTTGCCCATTTTTCTGTAGTATTGGTCCATTATTCTCTATTCTGTAAATCAAATCCAGACCCTCATCAAACAAAGCAAAGTACTTACATCCTCTCACCTTGTCTCTTCTCAAAATTGACTGCACAATATTTATGATAATGACCTTTAACGCACATTATCCACCATAAAAACCGTTTAATCATATCATGAATTTACGAAATTTTATATTCAAAATAATTGTGGTAGCTGAATTAAGACTTAAATTGAAGCAAAAAGTTTTAAAAAAAAATTGTTTCTAAGTTATGTTTAATACTGTACGGATTGTCGTTTCAAATAGAATGATTAGGTATGTACTGACTTAATAAGTTAGTTATTATAAATCATGTCTTCCAAGTTCTAATAGTTTTTTCTTTACAGTCTATAGTATTTATGACCTCTCGATATTTATTCTTTCAAATTAATCGTTGAGATTGTAGCCTTTTCTTACACAATTGCATCATCTTAACTGCGTCTATACAATACAAAAGACAAACTGAATAGCGGTATTATAGATATAGATAATAAAACAATTTGACTATTATAACATTCATTTATATATGTTTGTGTAAGACGACATATGCGAAACTGTCACCGTAAACCGAAGCATTTCATTTCCAACTCGATATATTATTTGAATGGTTGTTTTTTAATTCTTGAAATCAAATTGCAGTCTTTACCCCCAATATGCACAAAGGCTGTAATATATCTTTCTTTTCATGGTGTATGCTAAAATTAAGCAGATTAAGTCAGTTAAACCTTATCGGGTTGACAATGTAATGATCCTTAGTTTAAACAGTATTTATTAATGAAAAAATATTACAATGAAGTAGTCCAATCTTACATGAAATTCAAATATGGGATTCGGAAACAAGTTTGGAAAAACTTTTATAAATCCGTCTCCCGATAATGACCTTGGTGTCTTTGAAAATCAATAAGGGTCATGATTTCATCTACTGACGATTGATTGCAGCTGTTTGTCTGTAAAGGAGGCTTTGGTTACCCACGAACAGACAAACAAACTTAATGGACGGAGACTATCGTCGTTGTCTGTAAAGGAGGCTTTGGTTACCCACGAACAGACAAACAAACTTAATGGACGGACACTATCATCGTTGTCTGTAAAGGAGGCTTCGGTTACCCACGAACAGACAAACAAACTTAATGGACGGAGACTATCGTCGTTGTCTGTAAAGGAGGCTTTGGTTACCCACGAACAGACAAACAAGCTTAATGGACGGACACTATAATCGTTGTCTGTAAAGGAGGCTTCGGTTACCCACGAACAGACAAACAAACTCAAAGGACGGAGACTATAATCGTTGTCTGTAAAGGAGGCTTCGGTTACCCACGAACAGACAAACAAACTTAATGGACGGAGACTATCGTCGTTGTCTGTAAAGGAGGCTTTGGTTACCCACGAACAGACAAACAAACTCAAAGGACGGAGACTATAATCGTTGTCTGTAAAGGAGGCTTCGGTTACCCACGAACAGACAAACAAACTTAATGGACGGAGACTATCGTCGTTGTCTGTAAAGGAGGCTTTGGTTACCCACGAACAGACAAACACACTTAATGGACGGAGACTATCGTCGTTGTCTGTAAAGGAGGCTTTGGTTACCCACGAACAGACAAACAAACTCAAAGGACGGTGACTATAATCGTTGTCTGTAAAGGAGGCTTCGGTTACCCACGAACAGACAAACAAACTTAATGGACGGAGACTATCATCGTTGTCTGTAAAGGAAGCTTCGGTTACCCACGAACAGACAAACAAACTCAAAGGACGGAGACTATCATCGTTGTCTGTAAAGGAGGCTTTGGTTACCCACGAACAGACAAACAAACTTAATGGACGGAGACTATCGTCGTTGTCTGTAAAGGAGGCTTTGGTTACCCACGAACAGACAAACAAACTTAATGGACGGACACTATCATCGTTGTCTGTAAAGGAGGCTTTGGTTACCCACGAACAGACAAACAAACTTAATGGACGGAGACTATCGTCGTTGTCTGTAAAGGAGGCTTTGGTTACCCACGAACAGACAAACACACTTAATGGACGGAGACTATCGTCGTTGTCTGTAAAGGAGGCTTTGGTTACCCACGAACAGACAAACAAACTCAAAGGACGGAGACTATAATCGTTGTCTGTAAAGGAGGCTTTGTTTCCCACGAACAGACAAACAAACTTAATGGACGGAGACTATCATCGTTGTCTGTAAAGGAGGCTTCGGTTACCCACGAACAGACAAACAAACTCAAAGGACGGAGACTATCATCGTTGTCTATAAAGGAGGCTTTGGTTACCCACGAACAGACAAACAAACTTAATGGACGGAGACTATCGTCGTTGTCTGTAAAGAAGGCTTTGGTTACCCACGAACAGACAAACAAACTTAATGGACGGAGACTATCATCGTTGTCTGTAAAGGAGGCTTTGGTTACCCACGAACAGACAAACAAACTCAATGGACGGAGACTATCGTCGTTGTCTACAAATTTATGACAATTAATTTGTTAAGGACAAACAAACAAATTGAATGGATCTCCATCTCAATAAAATGCCACTTTACTCTAGTATCTGATTTAACAAAAAGACTTAGCAAAAATTTTCTATTTTCCCTATCTTCAATGCTGGATTTTATTGGATATTTACAGTTGTTTAAAGTTTAATCCCGTCGGATAAATATGCATAACGAGTTTGTAATCAAATTGATATATAAGTGAACGAGGTTATTGTTTGATATCAATGGTTACTTTATTGATAATAGTTTTCTGATACTATTTTAGTCACTGATTTGGTTTCAAGTGATTGCTTTTTTTTACTGGAATATAAATAAAATGTAAATTTGGCTATAAATGATATTCTTCAATACAAATAGATCTCATTACATTTAACCTACCTTGGCACATTCCTGTTTTGTAGTTGAGTCGACCTTCTCTGACAACGCTGTTTTAACCTGAGAAAACGATGTTAACTGGACTGTCGGTGAATCGCCGTTAAGACGCGATAGCGAGCTCATCATACACTACCCCGGGCATAACGAGAGGTATCGAATAAATAAATGTTCAAATTTATCTGAAGTTCGATTTATGTGTTCTTAAAATACTTCCTTCCAAAAACGTGCAATGTTCGAACTAATATAAAGTTATCACTTCATAGATTAATATATCATCACTAATTATTTTCCCAAGAAAATACAACAATTTTAAGTGTAAGGTGTAATTTCATTTTATCTTCTAATATATCAAACTTTAGTAAATCGGTAAGCGTTGTAAGTGCAGAATGGAGATATTTGATTGAAAGCAAGTGAAACAATCAATGTAGAAAATTTACTGAAGATCTATCTCCATCAAATATCACATTGAAAATACCGGCTTATCTTTGTTTCCATCATGTATACAGAACACCTGTATTACCAAAGGAATTCCCAGGCAGTATCGACTTGTGTATCCATATCCAATTTTATAAAAAGATCTACAAATAAAGAATCTCATATGTATCACTGATTCAAGTGAACCTTTTGTTTTGTTCGGTTATCAGACATTGTTTAAAGCGTTACTTAAATAGCATGTTATCGATATTATTTGGGAAGAACAGTTTTCAAATATTAATTGCTGTTGCCACTGGATGATTAACAGTATAAACTCTTTAGTAGTTTTCCAATATACTTGTCTTTTATCCGTTTTTATCGGACGTTGCTTTTGTGAATTAGTGAATGTTTAATCATTCCAAAAAACTAAATCATGTTAAAGTTCATGTCGACATAATTAAAATTGTCATTCTATATCATCATATATATCTTGCAATGATCAATGGATGATCCGTAGACAACAGGCGCATGTAAAAATGCTTGCATGCAGTAATTATCTCAGGTGCTGATCGATTTGGAAGGGTCGTCTGTCTCTGCAGCAGACGATTTTCGCTAAAAAAATATTCTAGTATTTCTTTCTGTTATGAATTGCTTTCACCTGTATGATTATGTGAGTTTTATTCGTTACAATAATGATTTTAATATAAAATGTTTCATTGGTGATCAATACAGTCAGGTGCAATCACTATGGTAACCAAGTACCTACTATTTAGCGAGTACGTTCAATTTGACATAATTACTGCAATTTCATTTTCATAATTGGTATCAGATTATTGTATAATTAGCTTGATGAGCAGCTTTAAGGAATTTCTTTACCTAATGGATATTACATGTAACATTACGCCAAGAACTACAAAATAAATCACCAAAATGACAAAGATGTGACTTCCACGAAACGTTTTAACAGATGCGGTCAAGTCTACAATGTTTCAATGTAAATGTCCGTTTTACTATGAAGACGATATAGATAGCCTTAGCCAGACAATTATAACGTACTCACAGACATAGATGGCCTTAGCCAGATTTGGCACAACTTTTCGAGAAAAATAAATGTTTCCACTATATCATTTGAATTGGTAATTGATTTAGTCTTCCTACTGTTTTGATTCGAGCGCCACTGATGAGTCTTCTGTAGACGCACGTCTGGCGTATCGAATTTCAATCCTGGTATCTTTGATCAATTTATGATTTAAAGATCACAAAAAGAATGTTTGTTATTTGTTGTACTTCAAGTGCTTCCATCTGCAGCAATTATGCATTGTATAATATTACTTACAGTTAAATCGGTTGGAATCTACAACACGTTTAAGTAAAAGTTTCAAAAGATGGCAGTCTTTGTCTTTCTGGATCATTTATCTACAGAAATAATTCAATATTGATTACATTATTTACTTCTAAGTGATTTAGGTTTTTGAAGAATGCTTGAAGTTCAATGACTGAAGTGGATATTATACCATTATAAAGCAATTATCACATGGGTTTCCAGATTGTCAATAACCACAGGGGTTTCCAGTTTGTTAAGACAGTTATTTCCAGTATTGTTTGATTTCATCTATAATAAAATGTGAATGATTTGAAAATAATGTTAAAGAACTTGTGTTTTGATATTTAGGACAGAGAACTTGAATAAAAGGTTTGAGGTTGTATGGGTGTCAATGGCTACAGCCGTCTGTGTGTATCTCTTTTTCTGTCCACTGGTATCATTTATGATTTCCTTTTGACTTTGTGTCAGACGCTTGATTTTGATTAACCACTATAAATATACGAACATGTAAGTCATACTCAATGAGACAGCAACCCAACGCTATATAATTACAAAAGAAAAATATGTCAACATTGGATTGACAACAATAAAGAAATGTTCGTGTATATGTACGCTCTTTTCCATTCTCAATTTTATCTTAAATGCCAGAATCTAGAAAATTAGGGAAGAATTTTAAATCTCGACTTACATGTTTCCGCCATTAAAAACTAAAGCCATTGGAAAATGTACGTAAAATAACTAAAGACAGAGACTGACGATGTTCCTGAACATTCGACAAGGTTAAATGTTGTTGGTTAATTGAACATTCGACAGGGTTAAATGTTGTTGGTTAATTGAACATTGAACAGGGTTAAATGTTGTTGGTTAATAGACTATCTTCATATTACCGACTTTTGACTCCGGATTATATAATTTGTCGACTGATTACCTTGGACATCATGGTACTCGGTCAAGTAAGAGCAACCAAAATAAGTAAAATCAAACATATAATCGGTGTAATTTGAGGGGAAAGTTTACCGTTTTCCGATGATTTTGTAGTGAAAAAAAAATATTAACCAGGTAATTTTCCCCCAAAATTGTACCGATTGAAAGCTTGGTTTTACTTCTTTAGCTTGCTCTTACCTGACTTGGTACCATGATGTCCAAGGTAACCAGTCGACAAATTATATAATCCGGAGTCAAAAGTCGGTAATATGAAAAAAGTGTATTGAACATTCGATAGGGTTACATGTTTTTGGTTTGTTTGTTTTAACCATTGTACGCATTGAATGGGATTTTGTCTCATACTAGTACATAATTAGTGACCCATGTAGATATATTTTGGTTAAGGTTGTCGTTTGATTACTGTCTTACTTCTCATTCATACTTATTTTTATACTTATCTTTTACCCCTCGTTTTCGCTCGGGATAAATAATCGAATATAAATTCCTAACCCATGGTTAAATGAAAACAAATCTACAGCTGAAATGAATTATTTCTTCAATATGACTATATACGTTTAATCTAAACGTTTGAGGCTAAAAACAAAAACAAAAAAAAACACACAACTATTCAATACATCTATTTATTCCTAAGAATGGATAACTTATTTATTCAAATATGGAAATAACGATAGCTAAGAGTAATTTTCATTACCATTTATGATCTTCATTGTATACTGGTACGCAATCTTGTTGAAGGAATTCGTGATGTCGCTCATAAAATATCTTAATGAAAGACGATAATGAAACGTGATTAATTTGATGAAAAAACTACTTTCTACAAAATCAAATATAACATAAAACAGAACTGATATCGGTATGATTACAAAATAGAATGAAAGATTGTGTGGTCATCATATTAGCTTTTGAGAATAACAACAGGAAAACATGCTGACTTAAAGATTCCTTAAAACTCTTACTGGAAAAGGTGGGAGGGTTGCATTTGGCTGTGCGAGATGTATAAACCACAGTCAGATCCGATTTCATTAGGGACGGTAACGACAAGACATGTGTTATATTTGGAGAGTGTCAATCTCTCTACAGTAAAAAAATAATAAAAACCAGACCGATATTATATTTTCAAATACTTTCATCAAAAGTATTTTATATCTACAATCATAGCAAAGAATCTTGGTCCAAATGAGACAACAGCTCAGTCACGTCAACAGACGCTTTGGTTGGAACTACAGTCTAAAAAAATAATCAAATAAGACCAACGATATCAACAATAACAGGTTTATTTCGACGGTGTAAATGCATAAAAAGAAAAAAAATGAAACATAGTCAGTCGTTTTTTATTTGCAATTAATCAAAATATAGGAAGATTTTACTTTTAACATATCTCGAAAATATAAAATGAAAACACCATTCGTTTTTTTTTTTTGGTTTTTTGTTTTTTGTTTATTTTTATTTTGAAATCACAACTAAAAAGAAATATGAAAACTACGATATGGAAAATAAAAAGTTTACATAAAATGTACCCAATGGTCGTTTTTCAATTTAATTTGGAAATCACAACAACAACAAAACGAAAGCCTAAACAGAAGGCGAATTTACATGGACCTTGTATATTTGTTATTCTCTCTTACTGTATTCATTACTTTGGCTTTAGGGCATTTTGAGTATGTGCAGTAATGTCATTGCACCAGCTTTAACATATTTATTTGATCTAAGCAACAAATATGATAAATTTCCTAGTATTTTTAAAACCGCAAGAGTTTGCCCAATTTTTAAAAGTGGCGATGCTTGTAATCCTGATAATTATAGACCAATAGCATTTGCCTTGTCTCTCCTAAATCATAGAACGACATATCGCTGATAGTTAAATAGTAAAGACCTTCTTAATACTACACAGTCAGGTTTCAGACCTAAACATTCGTGCACTACTGCACTTAATAAATTAGTAGATGAATGGTTAACAAATATAGACAGTGGAGAGATAAACAGAGTTATATTTTTAGATTTAAAAAAAGCTTTGATCTGGTTAATCATATAATTTTATTAAAAATCTTGAATATCATAATGTTTCAAATTGTACAATAGACTGGTTTATTATACCTCAGTTATCATTTTCTATATAAAATATTTACACAATATTTTTACTATTTTTTAAATTGCAAGCGTTGAACTATTTGACCGGTCAATAGTTTCCAACTATTGGACCTCGATGAAACTATTTGACCGCAAGCATCATTATATTTCGCGGAATTTCAACTGCACTTCAGGATTGGAGGATAGTGGTATACCGCGGGAGTTACGACGTCTCGTTTTACTTATTGTATCTAACATTGACATCAATGCGGGACGTAGCCTTAGCATTCAGAATATATATGATTTAAACGTTAAACAGTATGGTTGTGTTTCTCTCTTATATTACGATAGTTGATTTAGCCCCGACATTTATTGTCTGTTGTCTCTTTCGGTATAATAAAACACTTACTGACTGGATATTCGTGGAATAGTAAGTTTATTGTCCCCTCGGATACAACTATGGCCCTCGGCTACGCTTCAGGGCAATAAACTCCCTCGGGGACAATAAACTTACAAGGTGAAAAATAGCGTGTATGCAAACTTTCGTAAAAAATTCACTGTGGGATCAAAACTGTATCGTATGCCCTTAATATCTGCTGCTTCTAATTTTATATCTGATTTTTATGAGTACTTATGTTCATCTATACATATCGGATGTTCATGTATCTTAAATGAATGAATAAATCACAAAAGCTTTAATCAGTTTAAAAATCTCTAATCTTTTACGGAAATGAGAAGTGAAAATGATTATTGATTGGTGAGGAAAGAAGAAACCTAGTTTTCAACAATGATCAGCTAAAGATTTATTTTCGAAATACTCTTGAGCGGAGTATTTCGAAAATAAATCTTTAGCTGATCATTGTTGAAAACTAGGTTTCTTTTTCTCAATTCACTGATATTACAATGTTACAGAGATACAAACAGAATATAAACTTGTAATTATAATCTTCCGAGTACAAGTTTCTAAAACGAATTCGTTAATGATACAGTTAACAGTTATATTAGTAAAGCTTATCCATGCATAGAATGGAGAATGCAGACTGATATAATTTTGGGGTTGGAGATCCCGATCTTATTTCAATAAATAAACTATGTCGATGCGATGGAGATAACCTCAAGGGGGAGGATATATATAAGTAAAATTTAGGGCATCAACATGAGGAATGTAGGGGGTAATAATGTTATGCTACTCCTCATAGAGAGTATGAATATATATATATATGTAGGATTATGAGGTGATCGTAATAGAATTTGAGATTTAAGATTGTTGAATTAAGGAGGTTGTAATGACCATCCGAGCGAAGGGTATACATCAGTCGATACATT